TCCCAGAAGTCCCTCTTTCTCTCTCCACAAGGGGGAGCCAAAGCGGGTCATCAGCTGGGCGGCCACACAGGTAGAACCTCCCGTGCTCAGCAACCGCTGACGCTCAAGGATTCCCGAGCCACACCAAGTCTGGATGATGGACGTGGAGGCCCAGTGTTCTTAAACAGCCCTTTGGATGTGGCCGTAATTGAGCACACAAGCTACAGGTGTATTGTGTAGTGAGATCTCGGACAAGTCAGTTTATAAAGTCTCTAATGGCTGGCTTTTGAGAAACCAAGCCTTAGGGGCATAACAGAAATCATGCTGCCTTTTTTAAAAAAAGAATTAGATTTGTATCCCACCCTCCCTGTGTAGGAGTCTCAGGGTTCCATCAAATATAATATAGGTAAAGGTTCCCCTTGCTCGAAAGCCAGTCGAATCCGACTCTAGGGTTGTGGTGCTCATCTCCGTTTCAAAGCCGAAGAGCCAGCGCTGTCCGAAGATGTTTCTGTGGTCCTGTGGCTGGCATGACTAAACACCAAGGCGCACGGAACGCTGTTACCTTCCCACCGAAGCGGTACCTATTTATCTACTTGCAATAGGTACCACTTCGGTGGGAAGGCAACAGCATTCCGTGCGCCTTGGTGTTTAGTCATGCTGGCCACATGACCACGGAAATGTCTTCGGACAGCGCTGGCTCTTCGGCTTTGAAACGGAGATGAGCACCGCAACCCTAGAGTCGGAGTCGACTGGCTTTCGAGCAAGGGAACCTTTACCTTTTACTCTTAAGGACCGGGTCACAGGCAGGAGCTGCTGCCACACACCGTGTGAAGCGACGCAGGGCTGGAGGAGAAACGAGCAAGCCCGCTGTGGAGACGGAGCTCCACCATTCCTTTCCTCTGTTGCTTGCCGGGGGACATGATTAAAGCTGTCAAACCCCTCGTGACTTTTGTGAATAATGGAAATGACGTCTCTTTCCATCAGCAGGTTTGGGGGGAAAGGGAGGCGAAACAAGAGAGCAAACAGGAAAGGTCATGGAGTTATTTCCTTACCTGTGGTGGTGGAGGTATTTCTGCTGGATCATTCCGGTTCAGTGATAACTTTCTTGAGGGAGAGTCATTACAGAGTAATAAAGCTGCGGGTGAAGCCGTTTTCATGGCGGCCCAGGCTGGCTTCCGCGAAGCGGCGGCTCCTTAATTTCTCATTTGTTCCCCTGAAAATATACCTTTAATATCAACACGAACCAACTGACACGGCTGTATTGATTTCTCTTCCACTATCTTTCATAGCTTGCTGCCCTCAGCTTTTCGCACACGGCTGATATAACTGAGTTTCGACAGCTCCACATGGGCGACATCAGGCGATCTTTTTTCTTCGTATCCTTTTTGCTCTTGAGCAGAGTCCTGGCTGAGAAAACTTCCAACTGTGGTGCAGAAATCTCTAGATTACCGGGGGGGGGGGGGCGGTCGGCTTGGGCCCCACGGGACATCCTGGGGAAGGGCACGAAGGGGGGGCGGTCAGCTTGGGCCCCACAGGAAATCATAGGGAAGGGACCGATTTGGGAGAACTGTTTTCGTATCCCCAAAATCTGTCCTCCTGGAGAGCCAGTTTGGTGTGGTTAAGTGTGCAGACTCTAATCTGGGAGAACCAGGTTTGATTCCCCACTCCTCCACTTCCACCTGGCTGGATGACCTTGGGCAAGCCCTAGTTCTGAAAAGAGCTGTTCTTGAAAAAGAGCAGTTTCTGTCAAGAGCTCTCTCAGCCCCACCTACCTCACAGGGTGTGTTGTGGGGAGGGGAAAGGAAGGGAAAGGAGTTTGTAAGCTGCTCTGAGACACCGTTGGGTAGTGAAGGGCGGGATATAAATCCAATCTCTTCTTCTTCTCCCAAGATTCTCTAAGCTCCCTGGGGCAGGCTGATTCCCCTCCCTCCTAACTAATACTTGGCCGCTTTCCGTGTGTAGTGGTTAGTGTATCGAACTTAAGGAGATCCAAGTTCGAATCCTGACTCTGCCATGGAAGCTCACTGGGTGATCTTGGGCCAGTGACACACTCTCAGCCTCACCTATCTCATTGAGTTGTTGTGGATGAGAAGAAGAAGAAGAAGGAGAGATGGATTTATACCCCGCCCTTCACTCGGAGTCTCAGAGCGGCTAACAAACTCCTTCCCCTTCCCCTCCCCACAACCTGTGAGGTAGGCGGGGCTGAGAGAGCTCTTGAGAGAACTGTCCTTGACAGAACAGCTCTGGGAGAACTTGTGACTGACCCAAGGTCACACCAGCAGCTGCCTGTGGAGGAGTGGGGAATCAAACCCGGTTCTCCCAGATTAGAGTCCGCACTCCTAACCACTACACCAAACTGGGTGTTTGGTGAGGTAAGCAGCTTTGGGTCCCCATCAGTGCTCCCTCTAAGCTGAGTTAGTGTGAGCTAGCTCACAGTTTTTTTAGCCTCTGGCTCAGACATTTTTATCTTCTCTCAGGAAGGATGGGCTCCAGAGCAAACTAATTTATGCAGTAGCCAAACCATCTGCTCACAACTTTAATGCTAGTAGCTCACAAAGTAGAATTTTTTCTCATGAGACTCCACGGCTTAGAGGGAACATTGGTCCCCCTTGGAGGGAAAGGCAGGGTACAAAGTAAGTAAGTGAGTAGTGTTCCTTCCCTTCTGAAGCATTCTTGTCCCTTCTCAGGCTGTGTTTTTGAGGGGCTTCCTCTCTTTTTGGTTAATTTACAAATGCGTGCTTTTTCGTCTGTAGCTGGGGGGCCTCCTAAGTAGGTAGCGACCTCTGCTTTGAGTGTGGAGGATGAGATCTTGTGGTTTTCATCATCCCCGTGGGGACCTGACAGTTTTGTGTCGGGGCGCAGTGATAGGCTGGCTACGGGAGTTAATTTGAAGGTGATAAAATCTGGGCCAAGAGCCTGAGCCCCAGTGAAGTATTGTTCTGAAAGTAATAATCTGACTTGAAATGGCCTGTGGATATTATTTCTAAAAAAGAATCCGTCAGTACGACAGGCTGTCTGGGTGTAATGAAGGCTTTTGTAGAGCATCCCTGTGTGATCTGCATGCAGATATTTATTGTCCTCGTTAGGCTTTGCCTTCTTCATAGCCTTGCCTCCGAGTGTAGCACTTTATTTTGCCCAATAGAAGTCAAGGGCAACTGTTTACGAACCTGCTCGTTCCCCTGATGACCCCCCGTGGCCAAAAACCAAATTTGTTGGATAGATCTGGACCTCAGTCTACAGATGACCATTCTTGGCTCTGTTTCTTGGTCATTCTGGAGTAAGCCACTGTGGGCTGGTGGTCAAAGCACTGGACTATGGCTGGGTAGATACACGTTCAAATCCCCGCAGTGCCATGAAGTTCACAGGGCAGCTGTCGGCAAGGGACTCTTATCCCAAACAATCTCGGTTTCTACATAAGAACATAAGAAGAGCCCCGCTGGATCAGACCAGTAGTCCATCTAGTCCAGCATCCTGTCTCACACAGGGGCCAACCAGTTCCTGTGGAGGACCAACAGGGCACAGAGAGGCCTTCCCCTGATGTTGCCTCCTGGCTCTGGGATTCAGAGGATTAGTGCCGCTGAACATGGAGGTTCCTCTCAGGCACCGTGGCTAGCAGCCACTGGTGGACTTCTCCTCCACGAATCTATCTCATCCCCTTTTCAAGCTGTTCGTTCCTGCGGCCTACGTCCTTTGCCAGAAAATCCCACACGTTTTGATCCCTCTCTGCGTAAAGTAGTCTTTCCTTTTGTCTGCCCTGAACGTGCTGCCCATCAGCTTCATTGGATGCCCACCAGTTCTAGTATTTGGGGAGAGGGAAAGTGAACAAAAATTCTCTTTGCCAGCTCTCTCCACCCCATGCACATAATTTGATAAAGCGTCGCACAGCGAAAGGGGCCTAAGCCCAAGCAAAGACCACCCGATCAACGGGAGGAGAAGAAACTTTATTGGCGCCAGGTTCAGTCAGCGAAGAACGCTTTAGACAGACTGAACCCAGGGCAACGCAGGCTCCAGGCTTTTATACAGCAACAGGGTTACACGTCACATCTTACATCATCAGAGTGGAATTTCCCACTAATTCTTATAGGAGTAGACTTCCCCGCCCCTGCCCCCAGTCGAAGCTGAACCACGTAAACAATTGTGCTCTAAGGCTCTTTCAAGATGCTGATGGGGTTAGTTGAAGGTGGTGCGTTAAGACCGACGTGGATCTAGCGTGGCGTAAGGAAGCAGGAGGGAATGAGCAGGCCTTGGTGCTCCTCTAAGCCAGCGGTTCTCAACCTGTGGGTCGCGACCCCTTTGGGGGTCGACCGACCCTTTCACAGGGGTCGCCTAAGACCATCGGAAAACACAAATTTTCGATGGTCTTAGGATAGGGCTCACTATGCTTTAGTTATGTTCCAATTTGTAACGATGAAAATACATCCTGCATATCAGGTATTTACATTACGATTCATAACAGTAGCAAAATTACAGTTATGAAGTAGCAACGAAAATAATTTTATGGTTGGGGGCCACCCCAACACGAGGAACTGTATTAAAGGGTCGCGGGCGTTAGGAAGGTTGAGAACCGCCGCTCTAAGCTATGGAGTCTCGTGAGCAAAAATTCCACTCTGTGAGCTACCAGCATGAAAGTTGTGAACGAGCAATTCGGCTGCTGGACAAATTAGTTTGCTCTGGAGCCATCCCTCCTGAGCTGAGACAAACGTGTGAGCCGGAGGCTGAAAAACCGTGAGCTAGCTCACACTAACTCAGCTTAGAGGGAACACTGGTCGCAGGGAGAGCTGGGCTGCCCAGAGTATTTTAAAGCCCGCCTGTGGATTCGTTCAGAGAAATGCCTCATCAGCCCTCCCTCTCTCCCCTTGCCTCCCTAGGAGTAAATTCTGAGAGCAGCTCTTAGGACTGTGTGCTTCTTTGTTGTCCTTGCGCTACACAAGATAGTCCTGCCCAAACAGGTCCAAACTGTACTGAGGGAGAGGCATCTAAGGAGGCCCAAATTCACAAGCCGTGTGGAGCCAAAGAGATTGTCTCTCATCCTAAAAGTGTGTCCAAATAGCAGCGTTTCCGGAGGGACTCTCTGATGGGCTTTTCTCACGTCAGTCCTTATCGGAGCGAAATCTTTAAATACGAAAAGCCTCATCTTGGATACAAAACTTTACTTGGGAATCCTTCCTTGATTGATTAAAACACACCCCGCCTTTCCTTGTGGTTAAAAGGAGCTGGGATATTGCAGGAATGTAAAGGGACTGTGATATTTTGCTTAAAAAGAAATCTGTTGTGGTTTCTTTCCTTAGACCCGCACAGGTTTTTTTCATAGTGACGGCCTTTTTTGGGACTGGAAACATAGCTTCTATCAACAGGTAACTATTGGTAGTTGCACTGAGAGTCAGTGCGTTGCTGTGGTTAGTGTGTTAGTCTGGGAGACCTGGGTTCAAATTCATATTCTTCCATGAAGCGTGCTGGGTGACCCTGGCCCTCTCTCCCTCACAGGGCTGTTGTGAGGATAAAATGAGGGAGGGAGAACTGTATACTCCATTATGATATCGAGGGAGGAAGGAAGGACAGGATTGATGTGTGCTAGATAGACGAGTGACAGAAGATGACAGGGCATGCAAACTGAGCCGATCGGCATGATTTCTCTTATTTTGCATTAGTCTCCCTTTTAAAATTGTTTTTAAGATAATTATGATTTTGGTATTTATAGGGACAGTTTCTGAAATGCCAGTTTCATTCCGTAGATTTCAGGCTAGCATATGTTGCATAATCACCCCACACCCCATGTGATCGTCACAACGACCCCGTGAGGCAGATTAAGTGAAGTTTGATCGGTCCAAGGTCAGCCAATTAGCTTCATGACTTCGTGAGGGGAAGAGGAGTCTGTAAGGGTCTCCCCCATTCCTAGTTCGATACTGTAATCATTGCACAACACTTTAGCCGCATTTATTGTGAGGGAAGTAAAAGAAATTGGAGAGGGGTGACAATATAGCTGGAAGGCCCGAGGCTAAGGCCAGGGCAATTGTGTGTACAGGCTTTTGCACACCCCCTCCCCACCTCTGGGGAAGCAGGGACATGAGCTGCGTGCCAGATGTGTAAAAGCAGATTGTAGCAGCTCCTCTTGTTTCCACAACACTGTGCTTGTGGTTGGTCTGGATGTATCCAAACAGAGCCGTTGGCATTGCAGTTGTTGTGAATACAGATTAGAGAGTCCCTTTTGTAAAACAAAGACGTCCCTGTAAGAAGGAGCATTTCTAAGGGTAAGTAGCAGGCAGAGACTACCGGTTACAGTTTTAAAACGAAAAGCAGAAACGATGAGCGCAGTAATAAGAATGGTGCATCCCCAAGCAGGTTTATACCCTGCTAAGTCCCCTGAAAAGACGGCACTTGGTAGGGTGTAACTACGTTTAGGATTGTAGGGTGAGTCTTACAAACTTACACCCTGCACCGCATCACTTATTCAATGACGGGGTAAACAAATGAAACAGGTTGCTTCCCAATGGAGATAATTCCATGCAAAATGCATCTGACTAATGTGAATTCTGCTTTCATCCTGGGTGCGTAGCTTTGATCCAGCCTCTGTCTACTGCTTCTTGACGGTCTTCAGCCCTTTCGTGATGGGAGGCTTGCTACTGTGGAAGGTCAGTAATTGCTCCTTGAAGAAACGCTGCCATCAAGCTGACCGAATTTAACATGTCGCAGGCCTTTCATGTAGGATCAGCTCTGTGCCCCTCTAATCCTCCCCCCCACCCCCAGCTACAGGCAGGAAAAAACCACACACCCTTCAGTCTGTAATGATGATTTGTTTTTAATGCCCGCTACGCAACATTATGGTTTTAATTTGGCTAGGCTTGAACATACATTTAACCTGATTTCCTGGGGCTTTTTTGTAATGCTACAACCCACGGAGACCTCTAGGTGAAATAAATAAAATGAACGGTTTTGCAAATGTGCCGAATTGCATATTAAATTACATTAGTAGCTGCTGGTTTTCATGGCAATAAATCACAATGAAGCCTAAAAAGCAAAAGCCCTCAAGGATTTTTCGCTGTCTTTGCTACACAAATAGCTAAGTGCGTGGGCTTTTCAAAACGCCAGGTCGCTCGTTCAAGTGGCGCTCACCCTGACATGAATGGCAAAAACTGCAGGGCATCGCCTACTCTTGTTTTCTCTGGGAACACTTCAGGTAATGGCCACCGCTTGCCCTATCAAGTGATGAAACCGAAGGGGTGTTCAGAGTAGCTCCAGGTGAACCTCCATAAAGAATAAAAGTGGATGTCCCCAGTGGCCTAGTCAGACATTACTTTTAGGGATGCCAACCTCCAGGTGAGACCTGGGGACCCCCTGGAATTTCAGCTCATCTCCAGACTACAGAGATCAGTTCCCCCGGAGAAAATGAATGATTTAGAAGAATAAGAAGAGTGGATTTATACCCCGCCCTTCACTACCCAAGAGAGTCTCAGAGCACCTTACAAACTCCTTTCCCTTCCCCTTCCCACAACAGACACCCTGTGAGCAATGTTCCCTCTAAGCTGTGGAGTCCTGTGAGCAAAAATTCTACCTTATGAGCTACTAGCATTAAAATTGTGAGTGAGCGATTTGGCTCCTGCATAAATTAGTTTGCTCTGGAGTCATTCTTCCTGGGCTAAGACAAAAATGTGTGAGCCGGAGGCTAAAAAACTGTGAGCTAGCTCACACTAACTCAGCTTAGAGGGAACACTGCCTGTGAGGTAAAAGAAGAAGAGATTGGATTCATACCCTGCCCTTCACTACCCGAAGGAGTCTCAGAGCAGCTTACAAACTCCTTCCCCATCCCCTCCCCACAACAGACACCCTGTGAGGTAAAAGAAGGAGGAGAAGAGATTGGATTTATACCCCGCCCTTCACTACCCAAAGGTGTCTCAGAGCGGCTTACAAACTCCTTTTTCCCTTCCCCTCCCCACAACAGACACCCTGTGAGGTAGGTGGGGCTGAGAGAGCTCTTGACAGAAACTGCTCTTTTTCAAGGACAGCTCTTATCAGAACTACGGCTTGCCCAAGGTCATCCAGCAGCTGTAAGTGGAGGAGTGGGGGATCAAACCTGGTTCTCCCAGATTAGAGTCCGCACACTTAACCACTACACGAACCTGGAGGGTGGACTCTATGGCCTTGTGCCCCACTGAGGTCCTTGCAGGCTCCATCCCCAAATCTCCAGGGGTTTTCCAACCTGGAGCTGGCAACCCTACTCCTGTCTCCTGCTGCTGGCCGGAGGGAACCTGGCAACCCAAATTACTTTTGAGAACAGGCAATACCTTAACAGCAGGGCAGTGGAGGGGGAGGAGCTTCCGACGACAACATCCTTAAGCATGTCGGTTTGTTTTGGTCTTATGAATTGCCAGGCGAGGCGAACGGAAGAAGTTCAGGGATGGCTCAGAGGAGAGGCCGGCAGATCACCAGATTGGGATACACCCAGGCCTGTTGCCAGGATTTTTTAAATTCAGGGGGCCTTTAAATAAGTCAGGGGGGAACCCCGCACACACACACACACACACACCCCAAGGGGGCACCACAAATAAAATACAAAATTGGAAGTTGGGAGGCCTGGGGGCTGGATGGGAAGTTGGGGGGGGCCTTGGTAGTAAGTCGGGGGGCAGGCCCCGAGATGCCCCGCTGTAGCTACGGGCCGGGATCCCCCTGCAGTGGGTGTCCATAGTTGCAGATAGTCTCCGCTGTCCCCTTTCTCCCCAGCAGTCCCGTCTCTGACCTGGGGGGGGAAATTAATTCCTGCACAGAGAAAAAGCTAGTTGGATCAGCGGGCAGCAGGGAGGAAACGGATTGGGCCTCTCCTTGCCTCTTGCACAAGAGGAGAGGGCCACTGTGAACAGAACAGGTCTGTGGGCTCCAACCTGGTGCTTCTCTCGGACTGTTGCATTCCCAGTTCGTCTTTGCATGCAAACCCCCCCTTCCCTTCACCCACACTTTTTTAGTAGAGATTTTTGGAATTGACTTGCTGGATTTGGAAGCGTGGCTTGTGTGTATTTCTCCCTTTACCTTTACCGCCCTTTTCTGCCATCCGTCCCATAGTGGCCTCCGCCCCTCCGCAAGATCATTGGTGGAACCCATCCTGCTATTAAGGAAAAGTGAAATTGACAATGAGCGTGTCAGTTTTTAAAATTCACTTTTGCTACAAAACTGGCAGTTGCAGGACTCCCTTAAGAAAGCGTATCAGTTTCATACACCCCTTCCTCTTTGGGGGTTAAGCTTCAGTAACATCCACTACTTTCGGTGCTCTTCTCCCACCGTGGCCAGTCACAGGCAGCTCTGTACATATTTCGCCCAAGAGCATAAAATGGACCCATCGGAATTTAGCAACACCTGCGTGGCAACGCTTTAAGGAGCTGCATTTAATTCCAAAGGGTGGGTCCAACCCTGCAGTGCTCTGACATAAACAGGGCACTTTGAGGACGGACTTTTCCTGCCTTCCCTAATAATGGGTCAGCTGGCTTGCAAGAAGCTGGCAACGTGGGTACCGTGGGGCCCGCGGGCACCTTTTCTGGAACCCACCAAGTGTTTTTAGGACCTGGGTGGGGCCAGGTAGGGCCTTTGCCCAGCAAGGCTTCTGATTGGCTGTTGGAGGTTTGATGGGCTGTGCAGATTTCTAAAAATGTCGCTTTGGTAGCAGCTCCCACCGCAGCACAAAGATCTACACCGTGTGACTGAAGAGAGCCAGTTTGGTGTCGTGGTTAAGTGCGTGGACTCTAATCTGGGAGGACCGGGTTTGATTCCCCACTCTTCCACTCGCAGCTGCTGCATGACCTTGGGCAAGCCACAGCTCTGTCAGAGCTGTTCTCTCAAGGGCGGTTCTCTCAGAGCTCTCTCAGCCCCAACGACCTCACAGGGTGTCTGTTGTGGGGAGGGGAAGGGAATGGAGTTTGTAAGCTGCTCTGAGGTTCCAAGTGAAGGGCGGGATAGAAATCCAATCTCCTCCTCCTCCTTCTGTGGCAACCATTTTGCAGCTGGCTCCACCCCCTGTGTGAGCCATTTTGTTGCGGTGCCCACCGTGCCGTGTCAGAATTCCAAATGGGCCCACACGCTCAGAAGAGTCAGAGAACACAGGGCGAGACTATCTCTATGCTATGAGTCAGGGAACACAGGGCGAGACTATCTCTATGCTATCCGTCACAGAACCCAAAGGAAGCCACATTACAGGAGAATATCACCCCATGCCTCGTGTTTCGTAATAGTTACTACCAGTGCCTTTTAGTCAAAATGCGTTTCCCCATTTAAATTTATGCTCCAAGTTTTATTATTTAATCGATGAACAAGCGCCCAGCTCCGAGCCCACATCTCTTGCCTGGTTTGCCGACACATGTTCCTTGCTCGTTCAAGCTTCACTGCCTCCCCCTCCTATCCTTATAGCTCCTTTAAAAGGTGCAGGTTAATTAACCAATCCATCAACATCTCAGAAAGAAGGGGGAAAAAATTAAAGTCAACTCACTCCAAAAATACCCAAGTGGACGGAAAAGCAAAATGCAGTCAGGATTTTAAACCCCGAACAAGCTTGGTGAACCTGAAAACGAGTCGGAAAGTCAATTTGCTTCAGACGTGATTCGTCTACTTCTGACAATTCCACAAACATGAAAATCCATTCCCTTTCAGCTCTTCCCTTAGTGTTGCTTAAATGTTTTCTCCCCAGCCGTCCTACGTTAGAACAGCAATCTGAAACAGAACTGAACAGATAATGAAGGAGCAGGCAAGGACACGACAAATTTAAGGAGGGGGGTTGTTGTTGTTGTTTTTTTAAAAATGGATTTGTCATTAAAACAGATGGCATATCTTTCAGATGAGATTTGATCTGATTTAACAGCCTGCTGGTATTGGTAACACTTGACTAAGTTATTGTAATGCTAACAATAGCTTTAATAAATAGGTCCACGTTCCGAGTGATGAAACTCGGTTGGGACCAGGGGTCATTTCATAGAAAAAGAGTTAGGGGAACTCATTAGCATAACTCATTAGCATATGCCACACCCCCTGACATCAGGGGCCCGGCGGTGGACCTGCAAGGCCGGCGGGAGTGCGAGGAAGCCCCGCCAAGGCCCTCCCTGGCCCCAGGCAGGCAGGGGTGGGGAGAGGCGGGGAGGAAGCAACTTACCCTCCCTCTTCTCCTGCCTCCTCCTGGCTGAATAAGGGTCGGAAGCGGGGCGGCCAGAAGCAGGGGGTGGAGCTTTGTCATGTGCCCCGCCCCCTGTACCTCACCCGGGGGAACTGCGATCCCCCACGTTCCGAGTGATGAAACGCGGTTGGGACGCTGTACTTTGAGCTGTAGGTTGTGTGTCATTTTGGGAGAATCTTGTCTTACCCTAGAGCCCGGCAGTGGCCGTAATAGTTTTTTCCCTTATTCTGTTCTGCATTGCCAAGGCTTTTAGCATCTGAAAGCTGTTTCCAAACGCATATATACAGACTCAGCTGCACCGACAATAATATGTTCATTTATGTGTGACTATTAGGTTAGTGCCTGTTTTTGCTCTGTCAACCTGAGCGGTCTTCAAACACTTGTCTAAGAAAGATACTGCTTTTGAAGCGAGTTAAATCTCTTAGGCTCGTATCCCCCCTGTGGGACAAGGGACCAGTGGGTCTGATTTTCTCTGCCTTTTTATAGTTTGATGTGCATGCAAGCCAGTAGCTGACATATAGTCATGTATTGATTTTGCAGTGAATGAACCTAGTTTGATAGATGAATGAAAGGAGGTAGTTTGTCATTTTATAGAGAATATAGGTAGAATTCTATAAAAGCAATATTGTCTGTGCCAAAAGCCTTAAAGTCACGGCAAGTGCCTTTGTAGTTCAGCTGCTCTGAAGGATGTTTATGGCCCAATACTTTTGTTGTTGTTCAGTCGCACAGTCGAGTCCGACTCTTTGCGACCCCATGGACCAGATCACGCCAGGCCTTCCGGTCTTCCGCCGTCCTCTGAAGTTGGCTCAATTTCATGTTCATTGCATGTATGACACTGTCTAACCATCTCATCCTTTCCTGTCCCCGTCTTCTTTGACCTTCAATCTTTCCCAGCATCAGGGTCTTCTCCAGTGAGTGCTCCCTTCTCATTTGGTGGCCAAAGTATTTGAGCTTCATTTTCATTATCTGGCCTTCCAGGGAACAGTCAGGGTTGATTTCTTTTAGGATTGACTGATTTGATCTTTTTGCAGTCCAAGGGACTCTCAAGAGTCTTCTCCAGCACCATAGTTCAAAAGAATCTATTCTTCGGCGCTCGGCCTTCCTTATAGTCCAACTCTCGCAGCCATACATGACTACTGGGAATACCATTGCTTTGACCATGCGGACTTTTGTTGGCAGGGTGATGTCTCTACTTTTTATCATGCTGTTTAGGTTCGCCATTGCTTTCCTCCCAAGGAACAGGCGTCTTTTAGTTTCATGCAGTCACAGTCTGCGGTGATCTGGGATCCCGATACTACACATAAGAAAAACATTTCAGAGGCCTGGATGTTCCCAAACAGCATCCTCCTGTGTAATTGCCAGGCACCAGGCACCAGGATGCCTGTTGAGAGCCAAGAGCAATGTTAGATATCACACCTTATCAGGAAACTCCCCATTCTATACAGATGCTAAAGGTCCCTGAAAGATGCCAGAAGGAGACCTCAATGTACCTTAATGTTCTTGGGTCACGTAAACAAATGCAAATGCCTGTAACTCCAGCCAGTATCGGGGTGCACCAATGAAATGATGTCAACTCAAACGATGCTACCTGTTTTAGATCCAATTGTGTTTTTGCCCAGTTGTAAACTATTATGATGTCATTTGGTGTATAAGAACTTCTGCTCTTCCCGTTGGGACCAGAATACAGCTAGGTGTCACTGGGTGCTGAGGTATCCAGCCCTGTATTTTCCTGTCATTGCAATAAACAGTTAGAAATCCAACTCACTGGTAGAGATGTGAAGGCCCGGGGAAAAAAACAGAAAAATTCAGGAAAAAAACCCGTTTTTTCCCCATTTTTTTCCTGAAGCCTTTTTTTGTTTTTTCCCGAAAAATTGGAAAAATTAAATTAAAAAATTGATTATGGAACGTTTTATTTTAACATGATGATTAAACTATTTTAAGACAAGGTGTTCAAATATTTTCCAAATCATTTCTAAAATATATATATATATGGTATCAGATTGATCTAATTTCTATGCACTGAGGACAAGCAAGTCCTAGGTTACAAACTGAACTCTAATGCAAGAATAAGATGCATTTCTTCCTTTAGGAGGTGCTATTGTCAAAAGAAAATAAAAAGGTTTCAGTTTTGTTTTTGCATGTGGGTGGGTATTCTGTTTGTAATAATTGTTTGGCTACACTATATTTTTAATATGCTAGTTGTGATAATTTCATGCCAAGTAAAAATGTCCATAGTCGTATTTTATGTTCCTAAAGTAACAGAATGACTTTCAATCTAGAAAAGACAAAAGAAATGCTAATGTAGCATTTCTTTCAATTTTTCCGAAAATTTTCGTTTCCCCCCGAAAAAAAACTGGGAAAAATGGGGGGGTTTCCGAGCTTCAAAATTTCCGGAAATTTTACATCTCTACTCACTGGACTCCGACTGTGGCATTCCTTACCTGGCCCTGGGAACACACGGGGCACAGAGATTTCTGCAACCCCTGCCTTTCCTCCTCCTCCTTGCCTGAAGTGGACAGTAAAGTCCAAGCTACTCTATAACATCTGCACACAGGATTTAGGAACATATGAATCTACCTTGTATAGCATCAGACCGTTGGTCCTTATTGTTTCGTGTGAGAGCCTTCCTCTGCCTGTCAGAGCAAAGTGTTGCCATTGGTAGACTGGATCGGTGAGCTCTAATCCAACGTTCGTATTCTGAGGGGGAAAATGAGCGAGTGAAGGATGTTTATACCAGAGGGAACAGTTAATGAGGGAGCACAAAGTGGTTTTCAAGCTTCCAAGGAGCTTACTGTAGGGCCCTTTGGAAAGTACCAGGATTTCTTCATTGAGAACGTGAGAACAGACAAGTTGTTGGAAAGATAGTGTGCCCACTGCTAGCTATCTTTTGCATCAGTATTCAGCATATCCCAGAATCCCCTGCAAAGTATTGGCATTCCATAGTCAGTAAGCACATCTTTTGCATCAGTATTCAGCATATCCCAGAACCCTCTGCAAACCATTGGCATTCCATGGCCAGTAAGTACAAGAAGAGAAGAAGAGGAGATTGGATTTATACCCCGCTCTTCACTCAGAGTCTCAGTGGCTTACAAACTCCTTTCCCTTCCCCTCCCCTCCCCTCCCCAGAACAGACACCCTGTGAGGGAGGTGGGGCTGAGAAAGCTCTTTCCAGAACTATCCTTGAGAGAAGAGCTCTGACAGAACTATGGCTTGCCCAAGGTCATCCACCAGCTGCAAGTGGAGGAGTGGGGAATCAAACCTGGTTCTCCCAGATTAGAGTCTGTGTACTTAACTCAAGTGGTTAAGACGCTGAACTGCAGGCTGTGGAAGGTCAGTAGTTCAACAGTTCGAGACCCGAGTGCCGTATGACGGCATGAGCTCCCGTCTCTAGTTTCAGCTCCTGCCAACCTAGCAGTTCGAAAGCAAGAAATTGCAAGTAGATAAATAGGTACCACTTCGGTGGGAAGGTAACAGCGTTCCGTACGCCTTGGTGTTTATTCATGCCGGCCCCATGACCACGGTAATGTCTTCGGACAGCGCTGGATCTTCGGCTTTGAAACGGAGATGAGCACCGCAACCCTAGAGTCGGATTTGACTGGCTTTAGAGCAAGGGAACCTTTACCCAGAGGTCATTTCGGGGAGGAACGCGGGGGAACACAGTTTCCCCGGGTGAGGTGCAGGGGGCGGGCACATGACAAAGCCCCGCCCCCTGCTTCTGGCCGCCCCGCTTCCAGCCCTCATTCAGCCAGGAGGAGGCAGGAGAAGAGGGAGGGTAAGTTGCTTCCTCCCCGCCTCTCCCCACCCCTGCCTGCCTGGGGCCAGGGAGGGCCTTGGCGGGGCTTCCTCGCACTCCCGCTGGCCTTGCAGGTCCACCGCCGGGCCCCTGATGTCAGGGGGTGTGGCATATGCTAATGAGTTATGCTAATGAGTTCCCCTAGCTCTTTTTCTACGAAACGACCCCTGCCTTTACCTTTACTTAACCATTACACCAAACTGGCTCTCAACTTTTACATCAGTATTCAGCATATCCCAGAACCCTCTGCAAAGCATTGGCATTCCATTGCCAGCAAGTACAAGTTTCACAGCGCAGCTACTCAGCACAGAAAATGGTCTTTGAAGGTAGACAATCAGAAAAACTGTTCATATAACACTTCTTCCTTTGTCTTAATGGTGTTTCCCAAATATTTACCATACTGGACAGAATGAAACAAGGCCTGTCACTACATCTTAGTGTACTTTGTAGAACTGATGTTACCCTGGTTGACTGTTACGTTTCTGTTAAGTGGATGAAATGTTTGGATTTGGGGATATGCCCCGCTGCCTCTGTGAATATTAGCAATGTTAATTGGGTTTGGGGCTGTCTGGCTTTGTGGGAGGCTGCCATTAGCTTAATGCAGCTTCTGTGTCCTCAACAGATTGCAATCCCTTTTGTTCTTGTGTCGTGTGCGTTTGAAGCTGTTCAAGTGACAACACAGCTATCGTCTAAAAGGTACAGTAAATATGTCAAGCTTTGGGGCTCATTATGGGGTGGTGGTGGTGAGGGGTCCAAGTCCAACCATCTCCAGCTCCTGTTTTCTAAATCCCTGAACTGGATACAGCCTGTATCTCTGTTCACTCTTCAGGGAATTCAGGATCATCAAAACTCTGGAGGGGTTTCCCCCCGAAATTGGGGAAAAAAATCTAGTAACAGTAGCTGTATTCTTACAATGCAGCTTGTATCGCTGATAGGCATTGGGTTGGAACATAAGTACCGCCAGCAGAATTTGAAGCCCGTGGAGTGGCACTTTCCTCCTGAGCCACCTGAAAGTCTACTCAGGGGGTGTCGAGACCCCAGGAAACTGAGAGGGGGGGCACGTGGTGGTCTGCAGGGGGAGGAGGGAATTGCCAGAAATCCCCTTCCTATAGGAATAGGAGCCAACCCTTTGAATAGTACTAGTCATCTCCATCTCATCCACAGTACTGTGTTACTTTGAAGTTCTGCGCAAACATAAATAAGGCACGTAGAAAACTCTCGCACACCTAGGAAATGCAGTTTATCTGATGTTTTCGTTTTCTGTGTACTGAGGTGTCTTTTTGTGGGCAAGCATTCAGATGTTATTTATTTGCGTTTATATAAATATATGTGCATCCTGCTTTTCTACCACACTGGGCCCTCTAAGAGCCTTACAAAGCAACACGTATGAGCAATACAAAATTGAAATTAAAACTGACCACTCAACAGGCTCCCAGTCAGACCTCAGATTGATCGACTACGAGGGTATTGCAGCCTGGCGCCGGTCCCATTGGCACAGCTCACACAGGGCTACAGGCTGCAGGTCGTGAGTTGAGAACTCTTTGGGCCTTGCCAATAAGGCCTCTGTGGCCAAGCCCAGACTTCTTACCTGCAAATAAGGAAGGGCAGACGCTCAGCTCGGGTTTCATTCCACTTGCTCAGATGTTCCAGTAAACCTCCCCTGCACATGATTTGACCACCTGGATTGAATACGAGTCCAATGGTCCCTCTAAGCTGTGGAGTCTTGTGAGCAAAAACTTTACTTTGTGAGCTACTGCCATTAAAGTTGTGAGCAAGCAATTTAGCTACTGCATAAATTAGTTTGCTCTGGAGCCCTCCTTCCTGAGCGGAGACAAAAATGTGTGAGCCAGAGGCCAAAAAACTGTGAGCTAGCTCACACTAACTCAGCTTAGAGGGAACCCTGAATACGACCCAGCGATAGATTGGTCAAGCAAGTCTACTGATAGTGGACCTCAAAACTTTGATCCTGACCCAGTTCAAAAGAGCAAGAGTCCAGTAGCAGCTTAAAAGACTTAACAACATTTGTGGTAGGGTGTGAGCTTTCATGAATCACTGCTCACATCCTCACGAAAGCTCATCCCCTGCCACAAATGTTGTTAGTCTTTTAAGGTGCTACTGGTCTCTTGCTCTTTTCTGCTGCTACAGACAGACTAACACAGCTCCCCATCTTGATCTGACCCAATTCAGACACTTCCTAGTCAGTGACAGTGTGGTAGAGCAGCGGAATTCGCTCTCCTTTCCACCGTGTGGCATAAGTCAGGTGTGAGACTCAACAACTCCAAACAGAAGACCATTCGTGGGGCCAACCATTAATCAAAGAAAAGAGGAGGGAGACACCATGTAAATTAGACTTCTGCATATCTGGGGCTCTCCCATGTGGAAAGACTGCCGTTCGATAAGTGCCTGAACCAGACCATAGTTTGCTATTTCCTGCTGTTCAACAGAGACGTCTTTAAACTATCATTAATGTTGTCTGAAGAGCTTGATGTGTTCACTTTTCTGTATGCTGTAACAGAGCGTACATTCAACCTGTGGACTGAGGTTAGTCAGTTGTGTGTTCAGCCAACACTTTTTGCTGCTGACAATCCTAAATGGGATTTAACAAGCGATCGTGTGGGTGGTCTCTGTCAGTGTGCACAAGAGTGTGTGTGTGTGTATGTGTGTTTATTTCTCTGTGACATTGCTGCGAAATGTTTTGATCGTAATTTCAGGGATTTGATGGGATCCAGTTGTGCCTCTGGTTTAGAAGCTTGTAAATTAATCTGCACGGAGCTGCGGTGGCTCAAGTGGTTAAGACGCTGAACTGCAGGCTGTGGAAGGTCGGTAGTTCAGCAGTTCGAGACCCAGGTGCCGCATGACGGAGTGAGCTCCCGTCTCTAGTTCCAGCTCCTGCCAACCTAGCAGTTCGAAAGCAAGAAATTGCAAGTAGATAAATAGGTACGACTTCGGTGGGAAGGTAACAGCGTTCCGTGCCCCTTGGTGTTTAGTCATGCCGGCCACATGACCACGGAAATGTCTTCGGACAGCACTGGCTCTTCGGCTTTGAAACAGAGATGAGCGCCGCAACCCTAGAGTCGGATTCGACTGGCTTTCGAGCAAGGGAACCTTTACCTTTATCTTTTAAATTAATCTGCAAGAACATGGCTTTGTCACATGGTTAATGGACTTGCAAAGGTATCATTGACTTAGCTGATGCTCAGGTAACAGGACCAGATTCTGTTGATAATTTTGCGTAGTGCTACGGTGTGGCACATTTTAATGAAATTTCACACCACAGCTGATAGCAGCCTTATAATAATAATCTCACAGATAGCATTATTATTATAGTTAATGACCCGTTTCAGTTTCCTGCTACTAGGTCAGCTGTTTGCCGCATTCTTTCAGTGCAGTTCCCGGAACAAACCAGTCATTAGCGATTTACAGCAGTGTCCGCGTCGCCTAATATTTCAATTACGTAATGAAAAGATAAAGATAATGAAGATGTTTTTAGCAGGATTTCACATCATTTGCTCAGAGTCCGTCCCATTTGGCGAAATCTGCTTTTCGGAGCACACAAAAACGATCTTGTGTACCCAAGACTCACCTAACTGGTTTTGTGTGCCTGGAGGCAAAGTGGAAAAACCAACACTCAGCCATTCATGGAACTGGAGTCTGTCTCTGAACAGCCTTCCCTACAGGGAGACTGCTTTGTCATCCTGGAACAAACTGAAAAAACAGTGCTCTGTTGACCTCCGGCCTGCCCCTGCTGCTCCTGAGTTGTTGTGGGTGCTGGGCATTAGTGCTCTGAGTGGAAACTTGACTGGATGAGTGGAGGGGAAATGGAGTGGTGGGAAATGGCTGCAGGCAAGGGCTCCTTCTAAGGAGGGCTCAGCCGCAGAAATAGGTTGAATGTGCAGATCAGGTTTTACGCTGGCGTGAAAACGTACAAAACGTGCAAAAATGAGTGTCTGAGCACGTGCAGTGGTGTTAGCTTTTCTTCATTTGAATTTCCTCGGAACCGTGGCCGACGTTCCCAGGATTCTCCCCGTACGTGGGGCTCATTGGGCCATGGGCACCCTGCAGCAGGCGAGGGCATAGCACACTCGGAGTGGTGGGGGTCCATTCCTGCCTCTCTTACAAACCAACCAGGATGCCCAAGCGCAAAGTTCAGACCTTTTGTGTACAGGGCCGGCTCTCTCACTAGGCCAGCTAGTCTCTGACCTAGGGCGGAGCTCCGAACAGGGCGCCAGCTGCCCTGCCGCCCCCCCACCAAAAGCCCCCCCTGCCCAAAGCCGCTGCTACTAAAACTCATCTCGCACATGCTGCTCTGTGCCGCTGTGCGCCCGTCCATAGGGCACTCCTGCCCGCCCGAACTTATTCACGGAGCGCCCATTGGTCCCGATTGCAGATTTGCCACAGCACTATGAGCGCCCGGCCTCCGTCGGCTCGGTGCAGGCGGGGCACAGACAGTGCCCCCTTCCAAAGCTGAGCTCCCTCCAGGGCGGGCGGAGTGGAGAAGAAGTGAGCCTCCCCCCCCCTTCTAGGAACGGGTTCCCCGCAAGGGGGCCTGAGCAGTAGACTCCCCCCCCGGCGGCCTGGCTAGAAAACAGACCCTCCCGGCCAACCTGAATTCCCGGCGGCGGCGGTGGCAGCGGCTGGCTTTCTGTTGGGCCCGGCCCGGGTGGGCAGACAGGCGCTGGCACTTGGGGGGGGTGGAGGAGGGACTGGCACAGGGCAGGCGGCCAGGTGGGCGAAGGGGGCGGTCCCAAATAGGAAGGCTTCCATATCTCCAGGCCGGGCCTGGAAGTTGGCAACCCCGTACTTGGGGCGCACGGGTGGGGGGGCCGCCAGAAGGTAGCCCTGCCTAGGGCGCAAAAAACCCTCGGGCCGGCCCTGTTTGTGTAGAAAGCATACAGTGAGCCTTTACTTGGCCCCTTGTGGCAGGGATTCATTTCCCTCTTCAGGCCGACAGGGAGTTCCTTCACTGCCGTCCTTCACCTTCTGTCATTCACCCCAGGCTTCACCTTGCTTCCCTCTTTAAGGCCCTCCCAACCTAGCCGTTCGAAAGCAGGAAATTGCAAGTAGATCAATAGGTACCGCTTCGGTGGGAAGGTAACAGCGTTCCGTGCGCCTCGGTGTTTAGTCACGCCGGCCACATGACCACGGAAACGTCTTCGGACAGCGCTGGCTCTTCGGCTTTGAAACGGAGATGAGCACCGCAACCCTAGAGTCGGACTCGACTGGCTTTTGAGCAAGGGAACCTGTTTACCTTTACCTAACATCTGGATAGGCCCCTCTGGCCAGAGGCTACCTCCTCTCCATGATCCCATGTCCGATGTAGGCCTGGGATTCGATCTCCCCCAATAATGGCTCTTTGGCCGGCCGGCCCCACCCTATGGCACTGGTCTTTGGCCACAGTCTTCCCACCAATGTCCTCGGGGGGGGGGGGGTTCCAACCCCTGCGTGCCACTGTCCCTACTCACCCTCTGCCTCAGCTGCACTCCCCTATACCCCAGTTGCTGCTGCCAGATGACCTCTAACCCTGTAGCCCTGGGGGTTACTCCCCCCCCACACACACACATTGTTGTCCCTACAGACTTCACAGACCTGTGCAGTGGGCCAGGCTGAGGGATTACAGGCCCCAGCTGTGCTGTTCTTGGCTAAGTGGGGACTTGTACTCAGGGCTCCTCGTTCATTCTGTTCTCCATGCACCACTGGCTGGCCGTGTTCATTTGCTGGCTGCCCAGCGCACCCGCAACAGGACATGGGGCTTCCCGTGAGGCTCGAGATCTGGCACCACTTTCCTCAGAGATCTGTCTCTGGCTCCAGCAAAGAGTGAACTGCCGTTTAGCGACACCCTCTCGGTGATCTGACGTCAACAACAATAATGCAAAGCGGGTGGAGCTGATCGCCTTCGGCTGCTGAGGCCTTGCTCGCCAGTCTCTCCCACACCTTTTTGTAACAGAAGCGCGTGCGCCATCTGGAGACGTTGTTGGGCTTCGCTTCCTCGCGGCCGCCTCGGCTGGCCCCCGGGTGACTCCATCTTTGCTAGCTGCCCTGAGTCTCTTGGAAGGGGACAGCGTGAGCTGCTCTCAGGGGAATCTTCTCTCTCTCTCACGCTTGTTAGCAGTGCTTACCTTCAAGGCCCGGGTTGTTTCTTCCCCCACACTGGAAGTCAGATGCAAGATGGCCCGGCTCCTCCCAAGTATTTGGGGTAGCTTTATTAATCATTCTTTGGGCTCACAGCCAGCTTCGTTCTAGTTGTTCTTCTGGGTCTCCAGGGTTGGCTAAGCTCCGCTGTGTCTGTGTGCGTGTCTCGGGGCCAGCTGATTGGAGCTCAGCCCTGAATTTGCTTTAGGGTTGCCGGGTCTTACCTGGCTGCTGGTGGGGGGGCGGGATCCCGTCCTCTTCTGGGAGTCGCCTTGCGTGCATGCACGAAGCCTGTGTGGCACTATAATGTCACCCAGAGGCAGGGCTCTTTTTGTAGGAAAAAGCCCAGCAGGAACTCATTTGCATAATAGGCCACACCCAACAGCAGAAACTCATTCGCATATTAGGCCACACCCCTGACAGCACAGCTCATTAGCACATTAGGCCGCACCCCCATGTTACCAGAAGTGTGGTCATCCAGCCACACCCACCTTTTGCTTCTTATTCTGTTTACCTTGTTTGTTGTCAAAACCCAGGGCCTTTTTTGTAGCAGGAACTCCTTTGCATGTTAGGCCACACACCCCTAATATAGCCAATCCTAATGAGTTTCTGCTGTTGGGTGTGGCCTATTATGCTAATGAGTTCCTGCTGGGCGTGGCCAACTCGGGAGCCAGCCGGAACTCCGTTCCTGTGCGTTCCTGCCCCAAAATAGCCCTGCCCAGAAGTTATGTCATTGTGCAGGGCACATTGGGCAGGATGCTCTAGCATTTAGGCAAAAAAAAACCCTCTATGCTCACCATGGAGTTTTTGTCCAAATCCTAGAGTGTCCCCCATATGTGCCTGGCGCAGTGACATCTGGGTGATGTCATCGCATCAGGCGGGATGGGGCTCTTTAGAGGTGGTGGCCGATTGGGCCCCCTGAAATCGGGGGAACCCTGCCCCCATCAGGGAGATGGTAACCCTAATTAGCTTTTGATAACTATGTTGGTTTATTAAAGCTCTCCTCTTAAATGAACCCGGATCTCTCGTTTCAGTTCTTTGGGAACGTCTACGGACCTATGGAGCCCCCGGCCATGTTCCATAACACCCCCACCACACCTTTGCCTAGCGCCTTCTGTGATGTGTGAGAGATAAAAGCTTCATAGGTTAGCGAAGCAAGCCCCTTTTAGTAGATCAGTATGGCAACTTCCGCCCTAAAACCTCCCTGCTTCCCAAAATGGTTCTAGCAGAAGAGAGGCATATTTCACGTTTCCCTGTTAGTGTTCGTGAGCACAAAAGTTGGCCCTGGCCACACAACTCGACGTCTCGAAGATCTTTGCTTTCTTTCTTGCAAAACAAGTTTTCCTGTCTTAAGACTGTAAAACTAGCCTTGAACTGCAGGTAAACAAGGCCTGGTGGACTCTTAGGAATCCGAGGGGAAGTTAGGTAAACCTCTCCAGTAACTTAGGCACTTCCTGTGAAGCACTCCTTGACCTCCCTCTGGTAGAATAGATTTTGTAAAACTAAGGAGCAGTAGCCCTGACCTACCTTGTCCCATCTCGGAAACTGAGCAGGGTCAGTATTTGGATGGGAGTGCACCAGGCAATACCAAGGTCACTGTGCAGAGCCAGGCAATGGCAAACCGCTTCCGAATGTCTCTTGCCTTGAAAACCCCATGGGGTTGTTGTAAGTCAGTGGTAGCTTGATGGCAAATGGGGTGGGGTGGGGTGGGGGGAACCTGGCTTCATTTAAACAGGTCACAAATCTTAGTTTCTCTTGGTACCTAATTTATGGGACTGGGGGGGGTTTGCTTTGTTTGGTTTTTTTGCACCGGGACAGTATGTGCATAGGCCTAGGCAACCTTAATGTGTAATACTAATAAAACAGTTCAAAGGAGAATGGCAGTGTGCCCTGGGAACGGGGCTTTGTCATGTTCTTGGAATCCCGTGAAGCTTTGTTACTGCACTGTTGAACTATGAATTATGCTCTTCCTCTGACATTCTCTCTCTCTCTCTTTTTTTCTCTCCCCCCCCCCCCAGGCTTTTTCTCATCGTTCTTGTGATTTCAGACATTATGGCTTTGGTAAGCTACTGTTGGACATTCTGTGCAAATAAGATCAAAAACCCAGAGAGCTCCGCTAATTCAATCAAGACAGATCTGAATTCGTTTCAGACTTCAAAGTTCCTCGAACTGGGGAAGGGAGCGAGAGTTGAAATCCGGCATAAATTGCAGAGAGAAATCCACCTCCCCCCCCCCCCATCGCAATCCCTTGTACCTCTTCTAATGAATGCATCAGAAGAGACGTAATCTTTATTACTCCCGTTCCTTCCCGTGTGCTATTTTTAAGCTCGCATGCCTCGATTTTCATGTATTTCATCCTGGATGTTAAGATCTGTGAGTGGAAGCGAATGCCAGATGCACCTGGGTGCCTAGTTTAATTTTTCATCTCTTTTTGGAACAAAAGGAAAATATGTCACGGGCGGCTTTTTTGTTTGTTTGTTTCCGAAGCAGAGATGAAAATGATCGTGGGAAGGCTTACGAGGAGGGGGTAAAACTGTAAGGGTGGGCTGTGAGGAGGAGAAGCCTGCCTTAATGACCCCCTTGTAAATCGGAGATCAGAAAATTATCAAGACCTTAACGGCCCCTTTAAAAACGCGAGCTGTCACATCGGCGTCCCCCCCCCCAAAGCACATTCATTCCATCCTTGTGTATTTTCGTGTTCTCAAATGGCTCCAAGGAAAGAGCTTTCAAAGCAGTGAGGGGTAGGAGGAAAGGGTGGTTATATTCTTTTGCGTCCTCTGTTCCCACACCTCAGTTTCCCCCCCCTGCGGACTTACTTGAAGTGACAGTGCCTTCTGTCACGTTATCTCACGTCATGAGAGGCTACCGCAGAAGAAAGGTACCTGAAGGTAGAGATGGGGGTATTGTCGTGATTTTGACTACAGAGCGGTAAACAGACAAATGTGTCATGCCCCCGTAGTTCTTCTGGGCTCTGATCTAGAGCATCTGCTCTTCCAGTGGCAACTGCTTCAAAACAAAAGCAGTTGCCAAGACACATGGCTGTTTATGCGATCGAAATTGGTCAGGTAATCCCATGTAGGCGAAGGGAAACATTCAGAAGCTCAGAAGCACTTGTCGTTCAATTTGAGGTAATTGGATTCTGACATACATTGCCAATTCAGGAAGGGCAGCATTTATTGTGATTGTTTTCTGAGGAAAAACCGTTTAGACGAACACCCGAGAGAGGCCCAGCTTTACGCTGAGGATTGCTTCACAGCATTGTCTCCCAAGGGTGTGCTGTTGTCGGATTCGTAATTCTAACTGGTCTGAATAGCTTCAGGCTCTGTCGTCTGGGAGGGGGTCATGGCTCAGTGGAAGAGCATTTGCTGTGCAGACACAAGGTCCCAGGTTCAATTCCTGATATCTCCGTTTAAATACAGGGGTGTCGAACATAAGGCCAGGAGGGGCGAAACTGGCCCATCCAGGGCTCTTATGTGGCCCGCAAGCAACTAGTGCAAGGGAGGGAACAGGAGACTGTCTGTGGGGGCGGGGGAGTGGGCGGAGCCACTCCGATTGTGGCTTCGGCATGGCGGAACAGCCTCGTCTGCAGCAGTCAAGCAGCGTGGGAGCGCCGGCCCAGGCCTGCACCGTTGGCTCTCCAGTCTGCCCATGTGGGTTTTCCTTTGCATCCTCCTCCCAGCCCATTTATTTTTATTTATTTGTTTAGACATTTTTACCCCGCCCTCCCCGCAAGCGGGCTCAGGGCGGCTTACAAGGGGCGACAGCCCATGCATAAAATCCAATAAAAGAATAAAATCATAATAACAATTATACATAACAACAATAATAAAGTGCTTCAATAACAAGATGGTCCTGAGTGGTTATGATGGCATCTTCGGATCGGCCCCGTTGAGATACCACTGTCCAGTAGATCGTTCATGCGTTGTTAGTATCACACAAGATAGGCTGAGCTTCCCAGGGCGATCCCAAATTCTGTTGGCGATGCCACCGTTGGTGGTGGTGGCGGCAGCGGCGGCCCCTATCTGAAAGCCTGGCGGAAGAGCTCCGTCTTGCAGGCCCTGCGGAACTGCATAAGGCCTTGCAGTGAGGAGACACCAACTCAGAGTTTACCAGCTGCTGTCCTTTACACAGTTTCTATCTCCTGTACCTGGCATTGCATTTTATGGCACAAGGTCTGACAAAGTGACATTTATGACCGATCCGGCCCTCGTAACAAATGAGCTCGACACCTCTGGTTTAAAAGGATCAGGCAGGAGGTGAGACTCTGGAGAGCTGGTGCCAGTCACGGCAGACAAGACTGACCTCGATAGTTTAATATTCTGACTCGGTTTAAAGTAGCTTCAGGTGTTCGAAATGTTGGAGTGTCTTTAGTGTGTCCTGGGTGTGTGAAGTGCTGTCGAGTTGGTTATGAGTCCAATGTTCCCTCTAAGCTGAGTTAGTGTGAGCTAGCTCACCGTTCTTTAGCCTCTGGCTCACACATTTTTGTCTCAACTCAGGAAGGAGGGCTCCAGAGCAAACTAATTTATGCAGCAGCCAAATCGCTCGCTCACAACTTTAATGCCAGTGGCTCACAAAGTAGAATTTTTGCTCACAAGACTCCACTGCTTAGAGGGAACATTGGTTATGACTTACGGTGACCCTGCGAATTAACCTCCACATTCAAAGGCACTCAATCTCTGAATCCCAGAGCCAGGCAGCAACATCCAGGGAAGGCCTCGGCCTCTATGCCCTGTTGTGGGCCCTCCAGAGGAACTGGTTGGCCACTGTGTGAGACAGGAGGCTGGACCAGATGGACCATTGGTCAGATCCAATAGGGCTCTTCTGATGTCCTTATGTTCTTAAAGACCTCCAAAATGTCCTATCATTAACAGCCTTGCTCAGGTCTTGTGAGCTTCAGGGCCTTGGATCCTTTGACAATGTGACCGTGCTTTGTTATAATAGCATCACTAATATATGAAAATGATGCTTAAGAAGAACTATATGCCGGAGGCCAGAGGGCCAGGCTACGTAAGGGGTGTAGAATGGTCAGCAACAGCTTTTCTGCATATCTTTTGTCAATTTTGTGCCCATACATCATCAGGTTCCCCCCCTTTTCTGCACACGTTTTGCTCCCTCTAGTGGTCGATTCGATATTTCATTGCTGTATCTCCAGCTTATTTACAAACGTTTGAATTGTGCTCATAAATAAGCCGCAGATAAAGCGATGAAATATCGAAGCAACGGTTAGAGGGAGCAAAGCCCATGCAGGAAAGCATGATGTCCAGATCACGGGAGGTGGTCGTTCCGCTCTATTCTGCTATGGTCAGGCCTCACCTGGAGTCCTGTGTCCAGTTTTAGGCACCACATTTTAGGAAGGATGTTGACAAGCTCGAGTGTGTCCAGAAGAGGGCAACCAGGATGGTGAGAGGGTTGGAATCCAAGTCTTATGAGGAAAGGCTGAAAGAGTTGGGTACGTTTAGCCTTGAAAAGAGAAGGCTTAGAGGGGACATGATTGCAGTATTCAAGTATTTGAAAGGCTGTCGTGTAGAAGATGGAGTGGCTCTATTCTCTCTTGCTCCGGATTGCAAGACTAGATCTAATGGGTGGAAATTACAAGGGAGTCGTTACCGGCTAAATATCAGGAGAAACTTCCTAACGGTGAGAGTGGTTGAGCAGTGGAACAGTCTGCCTCGGGAGGTGGTGGAGGCTCCTTCGCTGGATGTTTTCAAGCGGAGGCTGGACGGCCATCTTTTGGGCATGTTGTAGGTATGTAGGGCTATCTTTTGGCTGTGCTCCTGCAGAGTGCAGGGGGTTGGACTAGATGACCTGCAAGGTCCCTTCCAACTCTTAACATTCTGTGATTCTATGAAAAGGGAGGGAAATGCGATACAGACACCCAGGC